TTTATTATTCGTGTAATCTTTCATTCGAATAAAAAATAGTGTTCGATACGAGGGCGAAAATTTGTTTTTCGCCCTTGTATCGAAAACTACTATTTTTTAGCCGGCAGAGAAGCTTAAGAAGAAGAGAGAAGGGAAGTAGGTCTCAACTTGCTACTTTAAATGGAACACTCTGTATAATATTACTTGAATTCTACTCGAATTTCTGAATATTTTTATGTCTATTCTAAAAGGGTCTAGTTTTCGAAATATGGACGTTTTCAACAAGAAATGCGGCTCAAAATTGCAAATCACTCGATTGCCTACAACTATAATTTTCTAAGCCACTCAAGAAACAAGTTATTGTCCACCACGACCTCAAAGTCCAGTTCGAACTTTTGCTTGTAAATATGAAGGTTTCCTGACAACTCAGCCCAGAAGTTTTTTCAAGGATGAAACACTTTTCGATATGCAAGCTTTTTGCTTACTTCTTTCTTCATTTCTTCGAGAAAAGCCCAATTTCAACCCAGAAATGAACCTTCAACTGGCCAATCTGTTTTCAGGTCGGGAATAAAGTCCCCAGCCTGGATAATCGTATTCGTATAACATGAGGGACGCAATTTGTCTACCAAAAGTCTCTATTAGCCCGTTAGGCTCCTAATTGAATTCCGTGCGAGCACCCCTATCTTTAGCATCTCAAACAAGTGGCTCTGTTGCATAAATTAGGCGACTTTATCATTTCGGATCGGGCTCCTTTTCACTATGAGTGGGTGGCTCATGAATGAATGATCTCGAATTTGATTCGGTACGTGAATAGGCGAACTGTCCAATTTTCCGCTTTATATTTCACAGTTTTTGGCGTTTTCAGTGCAATTTTACACTTTTTTATAGGGCAGAAAGGCTCTCATTACATTTATTGATATTAATAACTGTGTTCCATTAAACTTATTAAGCGATTCGCTGCCTGCTGCATGCGAGCACCTGGGCCTTTACGGGCCGTTTCCAACCTGACTAACGCAATTTCCACAATTTACTTTATAGAGCGTTGTTTTGGGGCCTTTAAAAGGGTTTCAATTTGGAAATTAGTTGCTCTTCAGCACTTTAAACATAAAAATTGTATTATTTTCAACAAATTAACATTCATTCAAAATTAACCCAATTGGGGGGTTTGGCTGCTGGATCGATTGTCGACAATTAATTTTTAATCGAATCGGCCAATTTTCATGACAACTGTTATGTTATTACGCAAATTAACATCAGGATTTACTGCACACATATTGAGTAGTTAATTGGCAATATTAATTATCAAACTTAAATAAACAATGATATTCAATTAATAAACGTAGCCACTGAACTGTTTACTCCCATTTTCCGATTTGAGCGTTAGTTATTGTTGAATTATTGGAAAACGCCCCCAATGTCCATCTTAGGGAACCCTTTAGGTGGAAAATAGTCAATTGAGGTTAAAAAACGTGAATGTAAAATTTCGATTTTTGACTGAAAATTCCATAAGGGAATTTTTTAAAAATTGATAACTTTTTCAAAATGCCCCTAAACCTACATTATTTTCATTAAACGGTGGCGAAGAATGCAGGAAGCTGATTGAACAGCACTCTAGAAGCTTCAGGCCCTAGAAAATCGACATTTTTGATCCAGTTGAAGCGATTTTTGAGCGGTCACGATCTTCAGTCGACGATATTTTGCTTTTTATGGTCTTGAATACGTTAAATATGCAGATTAGGGAAATCAACAACCTGCGTTGCCTAGAAACCGTCCCTGGTGACGCGCGTTTCCGGAAACACGTAAACCTGATCGACCAATCGCTTGTCGCCTCTTTGARTACAAGACGWGCACCWTGGCAACGAGTAAATACAAATACATCAACTTTGAAATCAGCTGTCAGTAAAGCCGTATTTATTGCAATTGAAGTGTTAAATGAACCGGTTTTTWCACGTTCGTTTTGGAAAAAGTGTCTTACTTGTTGGAAAATGTKWCTAAGCTGGAAAATTASGGMTTGTAAAGCGAMYSGAAAATAAGWGAGSTAATTATTTAATRYTRKAAAATGGCTCAGYGRTTGKATCGACARGCSAACAACCTGAAGGTTTTTGTTTTCCCACTGGCTTCAWATGGGCTCAGCAAGCTTCCTTGCAAGCAGAATGCTTGGGTWAGTTTGGGTTTGTGTTATTTTGGAATGTKGTAAATTTGCGCATGCTTTGGTTTGTAAGTGTTTGTTTTTTTCTTTYTTTGTAATGTGGAAGATGAKAATTGTTGGGTTTATTTGGCATTGTAAGTGTTTYCCTTTTTTTTGGGTTACTAACAATTTTTTGCTTTTTTTTGGGTTTGTAGGTGTTTTTTCTGTTTTTTTTTCGGRTTAGTTTGTTACAAGATTTAAATGAAATATCGTATCTTTGCACACATTTAAATACATGACTTTYATAAGAACATTTCTTACAATACTTTTTCATTTCTATTGCGATTTGTATGAGTTAAAAATACTTTTCCACTRGTCACACACAAAGGCGCCATTTTAAATTTGGGTCTAGGATTAAAAGTAGTTTTTTCCTGGTCAAACCTGCCAACGARGAAAASTGGCGTTAGATTAGAATGACCAATMGTGGTAAATGGCAACGTTGGACTTGTCTTTTGTTTGGYTGCTCCGAGATGGAACAGACGACTTGTCCGAACTTTTCTGCGCTTCAAAGACGTTTGTTTGGCCAGGCACATTCTGGATTCTGGCAAAAAAGGCATGGTAGGTTTTAACCTTAGCTGCAGTCAATTATTGCTTCACTTTCTGATTTTAAGTAAATCCAACTCCAATTTAATTATTGAATTTATTAACGATTCTACACCAGATACCAAATTTTCTTCAGACTCTCTCGTTTCGTTTTTTACGACAACCCCTGTCTTCCTTTGCGCCACCTACAGCCAAAACTGTCCCGGATGCGGTGTTGCCGCATTGACTCCATTTTCTTATAATTACTAACAAGACATTTTTCAAAAAATATTTCAAATAAAAAGTGTTGGAAATAGGAAAAACCACAATATGAGTAGTTTTGAAATTTTTTAAATCATTCTCGTTAGCCGAAATCCGCCGAATAGATCCCGGCATTAAAAAAAAGAGTTTCATATAAAAAGTGTGACGGAAAAAATATGTGCAGAATGGGAAAAGCTATGATTTGATAGCATTTTTAAATTTTTCACTCCATCGAGAGCCAAAAGTCGCAAATCTTGGCGCAATTGCCGACGGATTAACCATCGGAAACCGAGAAAATAAATTATTTATTTCTTGGTTTTTTTATGCATTGTGGAAGATGCGAATGATTGGATTGGTTTGGGTTAGTAAGTGGTTTTCTGTTTTTTTTTGAGTAGAGGTCGATTTTTTCAAAAATTATCAACTTTTTTAAAATGCCCCAAATTCTACAACATTTTCATTGAACGGAAGCGAAGAATGCAGGAAGCTGACTGAAAAACACTCTAGAAGTTTCAGGCTCTAGAAACGCGACATTTTAGGCGATTTTTGAGGGGACACAGTTTTCAATCGACGCTATTTTTCATTTTATGGACCCAAATACTTTAAATGTGCATATTAAGAAACTCTTTAGGTAGAAAACTGCTGAAAGTTTTTCGGGTGTGCTTTGCACTGGTGCCAGCAGAACGCCAGGAAGAAATTCTTTTCCACGACGATCTAAAAGCGTGAAAAACGGTTTTTGATAACCGAAACGTTGCTGGAACTGGTGATTTTTTTGGGATTTGGGCCGTCGTGGAAGAGAATCTGCTCCTGACGCAAGCAAACATCCTCTCAAGCTACGTCCAGAAAACCACTGGTGCTTGCAAAGTGGCCTGAAGCCCGAAAAACTGAGCAGAAAGTATTAAACATCCAGCTAGAACGTTAATTTAGATGTAGAATTTGAGCCGTAATAGAGCCTACTGCCGCTATTTACTTCGCTCTATATTACATAAGTGTTTTGCTGCAGTTTAGTTTAATAACCTCGTTACAATTAGGTTTGTTGATATGCCACATATCGCTAATAAGAGCATCCTGTGTGGTGTGGATTAAGTGGCGCAAATTAAATTGTTCTGCGCTAAATGGATTTTTCGGCTCTGTAAAGTGTGTCTCGATCAGGCAACCGAATTGCGCCGCATTATTACGACCCTTTTGTCAGCTCTTCGACCTGCACAAGAACAATCCAACTTCAATCTTGAAACTAATCTTTGCTCGATCTGGCGCCTGAGTTATCACTAAACGCGCCAACTTCCTGTTCTACTCAAGCCTGACAATTGTAGAGGTTTTTTGCGCTTCTACCAACTCGGGGTGGAAGGAGAAGGCCCATTTCTACAGCTCCTAACTTTTTCCTCGCATTTGAATAAGCACCTAATAAAACCCCGATCTGCAGTCCCCTTTAGAGCAGCTTGTTGTTGGTTTTTTCCCACCCGCATTATATTTATTTAATTGCACCCTTGCTTGAGTGTCATTCAATCTCTAACCAGTCGGATAATCTAATAGAGAGTCAGCACACAATTGCGATTTTTCCGCTCGAATTGATCGGCAATGAATCGAGGATTTGATACTGCTAATCCCTCTCGATGAGGCTCAATATTGGCTTTGCGACTCTGATTCTGATGATTCAACAACGGCAGAACTCCAAGAACAATCAAGCGGCCGCTTAATGAGATGTGGGCCTCCACTTAACTCGATCCAACAAATTCAGTTATTGCACTAATGAAACGATATTCAAATTGGGCCTATAGAGCTCAACTGAATTTTATTGAGACATATTTCGATCAATTTGTCTGAATCGTCTTCGGTGCCCGTATCGGAGCTTTAACTGCACTGATCGATTGCGTTGATTAGTCGATTGGATTAAAAACATGTCTGACGACTAACTGATTGGGATTCAATTGAGTTCCTGGGCTTTTAAGTGCGGATTAGAGGGATCGAGAAGGAATTCGTTTGCATCAGCAGCATTAATCAGTCAAGGATTTC